AAATGGCTCAGTGGAGTTACCATAAAGCTGGCAACTTAGCCACAGCGTAGGGAAGATTAGACCGCCTGAGATTTCATGACAGATGACATGAATTTTCAGAACATGTCAGTGTATCCAGGAATTTAAATGCAATCTGTTAATGCACCTTGCATAGTCCAACAAGGCAAGTTCTATCTTTCTGTGAAAATTTTATTTTTTAAATAATCAAATTATGCTAGGATAGCGTTTACTAGATTCATTTTCAATGCTGTTTTAATTAGCTGAGTCTGTGAGTTGTTTTCCTTCCCTCAGTTGTCAGATGTACAGTCTTTGTAAAAAGTCAAAGGGGTTCTTTCAAAAATCCTGGGCCAACAGGAGCAAAGCAGATGTTCCTTTTCCAATCTCCTAGCATCACGATACTGGAATCTCTCACTTTAAAAGTGCTATCCTGAAGTAATCTCCAGTAGCTGCAGCAAGTCCAGCTTCTAATACTTCAATTTGAGCTTTAATCAAAAGCTCGGTTGTTGCCCTGATACAGAATGACAGCCCATGTTCCAAAAACGTAGTGATGAGATTTCCTGGGAGTTTTATTTAATGAGCAACATTAGAAACCTTCAGTGTTGCTACTAAATGTCATGAAGGGGGCGTCTTATTTTATCAATATCTTTCTGCAACAGTATTGACTATTCATTTTGTACAATGAAAATAATAATTCTTTCGTTTGCCCCTCATATATACATCAAGTCATTGAATACATTATTGCTGGAAATGGCTTATCCTCGGTTATTATAAAAGTCAAAGTGACTGTAGTTCTGGAAAGCTGCTTTGACAATGAGGACAGGCTAGGAGGTAGGAATGGACAGTAGGTAGGTTCCCTGCAGATGTAAGTCAGCAGAGCTTCATTGACTTAATGAAATTGTTACAATTTATGGACTTTTCTCAACTACTGCATATAATCAGATGTGGTGAGACGGTGGGATCTCTCCCTTTCCTACTGGGCTCAATGTATTCAAATTAACATAAAGCTTGAACGCTCTTACTGTTGATGAGTTCAATTTGCATACATTAAACCAAATTAAATAGCAACAAAATATAGTTTATGCAAAAATAACATCACTGTTAGTAAACTATAGTTCTCTTACAAGTGAGCCTCCTGAGCTGGACCTTCAGTGAGCCAGGTCTGTGGTTGCTCCATTTTAGCTCTGTTGATCTCGGTGCTGCCAAACCATTTTCTGCTAGTACTGTATCTAGTCCAGACACGTTACAGCATCACAACAGATCTTACGGGAATAGCGACAGTTCAGCACAACAGATCCACGTGTAGCAAAATCACTGAACAAGTTCAAGTTGTTCCCCTTGGACTGAATTTTTTAGCTTCTTGGCTGTTCTAGTATTCAATTCTTCATGAAAAAATAACTTCAGAGCAGAATACCCCATCTTTTGCTTACCACATGTCTTAGGAATTGGTACATTTCGGACTGAAAATTGAAGACTCTCTGAAATCTTGGGTGTTTAAAGGGATTGCAATCTTGAATGATAATTTCATGGATAGTAGTTTAAAAACTGATGAAAAACCTTTTTATTTACCAAAACTAGCTTGTGAAACTCATTGCAAGTTACCACAGAGGCTAAGAGGTCAGCACATTTCAGAGAAGGGTGTTTTTCAGGTATTCGGATGTGTTATAATAGTAGGAATCACCTCAAGCTTGGGTTTTATGGAGAGCCCAGACACTTGTGTTTCAGGGCTGAACCCAACTTCCATCTCTTGGTACACTTAGAAGACTGTGTGTGAATTATCCCAGTGCTGTTTGTCAGAGTTTTCCCTTCAAAGCATGCAGCATCAGGGCACCATTGGAGACTGCTCTGCATTTGTATGACCTTTAATCAGCTTCACTGTAGTGCAGGAGTCATTACGTTTGATATGTTTTGTGAAGAAATAATGTATTTATGTTGTGTAACTGACTCACACTCTGAATGTATTGGGTGATTTTAGGTATTATCAGATTATGCATAATTCTACAAATACTATTCTACAAGTGGTAATGCATGTAAAAACAGTTGAAATAATGAACAGCATGAAAGGAAAGGAGATGAGACAAGAAGAGTAGAACAAGGGGCCAAAGAACCACTTCAAAATAAGTACTTGGGATTTTTTTTTAATTACTATTATTGTCATTTAGCTTTTGTATTCAAGGGTTAACAAACCACAATAACTTGTTCATTACCTTTTTCCAACATTCCCACAAATGTCCTAGATCTGCAAATACCTGAAAAATACGAATTTAGGCAGCTAAAATACAGTCTTTACATTTCTCCATTGGATCCTTCAGAAAACGTACCCTGTGGCTCAACCTTTTTTCTGAAGGTCAGGAGAGTTTTATTCATCTGACATAAGTAGCTTGAGTGTGGCATTCATAACTTGAGTAATGTTATGGATGATAACAACATTAGACATTTTTATAGCTTCAGCAGTAGTTCAGCCAGCAGGACTATCAGCCTGATAAATGCTTTCATCTTAAAGGTTGTATTGCTACAATAACGCCAAAACTTAAAGCTGCTTCTTGAAACCTATAGCCTGGCTAAAGAGATGAAGAGTGCCCTCTGACATTTCTAGGTTGCTAAAGAGCTCTCTCAGGTTCCAGTGCAAGAATTAAGATGCCCACATGCAGCTGTTCTGAATTGGAAATTACTGTTGGACTTCGTAATTTTAAATGAATCAGGGGCAGTGCTACTCAAAAGAATTAGCTTTAGATTGAGATGAGAATGAACTCTGGCTGATGAGTCCCAACTCTTTGTTCATACCCAATTATAAAGTGTTTCTACAGGATTTTAGGAGGCAGAACTCTTATACTGCTATTTTCAGAAACAACAGAGAGTTTCACTTCCTCTGTGTGGGTATTTTGCAGTTATAAAACTCCTAGGAGACCAGTAAAAAACTTACCTATAGAGTAGGCTGAAAGTGGTGTAAGAAGCTAGCAATGACAACCAGTAGGATTTTGGCTTTGTAGAAGTTTGTTTTGTAGAGATCTGAAAGAGAGTGGTTATGTTCTGAACGTAGATAGTGAGAGTGGCTGTGCAGTGATTATGCATGTAAAAACAGTTGAAATAATGAACAGTGTGAAAGGAGATGGGTTGATACAAGCGGAAGAAGAGTAGAATAAAGGACCACAAGGGAAGGGAGTGTGAGATGAGCAAAGGTTGAGTTGTTGCTTTTATATCTAAGAATAGTAATCTGAAGCCTGTAGCAAACTTTAGCTGCTGTTTTAACCTAGCAGCTGTTTAACACAAAAATATTTGTAACGTGTAATGATTACAGTTCAGGCAGCCAGGTACTGTTTTTTCATTGCTTCTGATCATGTGAAACAACTCCACTGATTTTCTTAAGATTTTAATGACTTCACTGGAGTTCCTCTGTTAAACTGCTATTCTAGTTTACAACCTTCTGTGTTTCCCGATCATCACCTTGATCGTAGAAAAAATTTCAGTACATCTTATTTTTGACTGAGACCTTTGAAGCTATGCTTCCTTTCTGAAACTTTCAAAAGTGCAACCATGACAATCGCTTCCTAGGTGAGTACTATTGTGTAAGTCTGATATAATACACAGTTTGAATGCTGCAAGTCTGGCATGACATCTCAGAAGGAAGATAGAAAGGGAGACCTCTGAGAGCAGAGGTCAACAAGGGTGATTGGAGGCTTTGAACAAAACTGTACAGGTAGATCCTAAGTAGGCTATGTTTCTTCAGCTTGGAAAAGAGATGACTAAGGGATTAAATGATAAAGGTCTATAAAACTGTGACCAACATTGAGAATGTAAGTAGGGAGCAATTATTCTATACTTCTTTTAATGTTAAGAGGTAAAGGTTACCAAGTGAAATTATCCATTATCAACGAAGAGGCAGTATTTTTTGCTGGAAGCTACATGAGTGTGCAGGGGAGGTGCCTGTTTAGTGTATCCTGTTCCCTTACTCTTCCCCAAACACTTGACCACTGTTAGAGATAAGATACAAGGCTAGATGAGTTTTTGATCTGGGCATATAATTGTTAGAATCTTAAATTTAGATGCACCAATAATAGGTGGTAGACTGAAGGGCAAGTATAAGATTTGCCCTTCCTTTTAGCTTCATGTTTAATGCTGGCTAGTTTTCAAGTTGATGAGTGCCTTTAAACTTGCTTTAAAATGTATTTGCCTCATATGGAATTACGTGATAGCAGCAGCACCCTTGGCCAATGCATTTATTGTTTTGTGAGCTTACTAATCCTTATTTCCTGATGTTTTTCTAAAATTCATCAAATATGCAGGATCTTAACTTGCTTAAAGCCTCAAGGCAGAAAATGTGTATAAAAAAGAAATTGTAGGTTCCAGTCAGTCTGACTTCAGTCAGCATGCATTGGCTATGGAGTAGTTTAGGGACACAAAAAAAACTTGTGTTATCCATTTTGTATTTGAAATGGTGGGTAGAAGCTCTTCATCTCTTCCTGAATGTGTAACATACTGCCTTCCTTTTGGGCTATAATAATCTACTTCCAGTTGAGTGATCATATTGCTTTCTGCCTCTGTTTTTGGAAGACATTCTCCCACCTTCTCTCAGCTCATCAACTGAATAATCTGTCCTCCTCTATTCAGCTTTGTTTCTCACAAGCTATTTGAAATCTCTGCTAAGACCTCATTTTTGTCACCTGTGCCTTTTGATACTGTTATGACTGATGCGTACCTCGGTTTCTGCCACTGATTTTAGAAGTTTCTATGTAATCCAAGAATACCGCAGAATCTGTGGTAGCCCTTCTGCCAGCTCACACTGGTGGTAGTAATGGCCAAGTTCAGGTCATACCTCATGCTTCAACTTCATTCTTTATATACATCTTTGGTTGTGGTGTCCTATTGTGGCACCATTTCACATCCCTGACTGCTTTGCTTTCAATTAGTTTCCAGTGTAGCTTGCTAATTACAAGATGCATTTGAAGGAGGGTCCAGTGGCTGACATTTGGTGGGACTGAGGGCTGTTCTGTTATTTTCAGGTACTGTTTGGCACTGCTGATGGACAGGTTATCGTCATGGACTGCCATGGCCGAATGCTGGCCCACGTGCTCCTTCATGAGTCAGATGGCATCCTCAGCATGTCCTGGAACTACCCCAGCTTCCTGGTGGAGGACAGCAGTGAGAGCGACACGGACTCTGACGACTATTCCCCACCGCAAGGTAGCGTTGTGTGCATGTCCTTCTGTTGCAGGTTTGCAGGCGCTCATGAAGATATCTCAAACGCCAGGGGTGGTCGTGCTGTACTGAAACAGTAGGATGGCTGTGTTTTCAAGCTGGTAGAGGCCAAAAGATGGTGCATTCCTGTGGAGGTAGCGTGAAGGATGGAGCAGAGGGCTGGTATGAGGGAGTGGGTTCATCCCCAGCTCTGCCACCAGCCTTGCTGCATGGCTCGCTGCAGGTCATACCTTATCTGGGCTGCTCTGCCTCTGTTTGCACAAATGAGAAACACAAAGCTCAAAGTTTTTAGTGAGGGTGAGTGAAAAACACTAGATAGGGGCATATCGGGTTTCACTGATAAGCAGATGTGAGATATTGCAGTGGTCCATATGTATGGAGGTAGTCAGAGGGCAGTCGCAAAAGGAAATGCATTGTTATATAGATTCATGTGAAAAGACCACCAGGATTAGACATAGCGGAAAGTACTACATCTTTAATTTTAAAGAAATCCTATGAAGCAGAGATAATGCTTATCATTATACTCCCATCCTTGGTAGTCCTGACATAAAAAGCTCAATAAATTCCATAAAAGATTGGAAATGAAAATATTTCTTGTGATTACATAGGGTAGAAGAAGGGTAACTGGAGCTGTCTGGAGTTACTAATTCCCATGCTTCAGAGCACATTGCCAGTTTGAGGGTCAGGAAGAAATCCTTCCCTCACCTTAAGTATAAATATAACTCATTGGGCGAAATGTTTTGGTTTTAAACTCTTTGGAAATCATCAGTAGCAAAGACCTAGGAGGCCTAGTTATCCATCCATGCATAGTCTGGGATAGGATGTGGTCATTGCTCCTTTCACCCCCATCCTTCTTACTCAAGCAATGCTAATACTTCTTTTTGTTAATGCTGTTGATTAGTCTATAAGATGTAGGTAAGGTGTTTCTGTATTCCAGTGCCTAAAGTTTGAACTAAATTAAGGACTAATATAACAGTGATTGTACAATGAAAAATTTAAACACATAATAGCTAGAAATAATTCTGAATGTGCATCTCAGATCTGAACCACTGAATTGAGGACTCTTGCAGTTTTAGCTCTAATTTGGACTCATTTCCAGAATCACGTATATATGTCAATATAATAAGCGTATGTGTTTAAAAGAATAATGACAGAAGATAATGTGATCATCTAGTAAAATGTTAGCATCTTTTAAGCTGAGTTTTGTTCTGGTTTTCATCCCTCATTTTTGTTACTGAGTGAGATTTCTTGCCTTAAAAGAAAAGAAACAAACTTCAAATTTCCTAGCAAACTTCTAAAGCAAGACAAGGAACAATATTAAATTGTTTTTTCATTGCTTTTTTAAAATACTGAGGTTCCAGTTGGAGGATGGTGAAGATTCAGAGTACACAGATGAGAACTTAAATGATCCAAATGTGCTAGCTTTTTCTGAGTCAATCAGGGGTGGGTGGACTCGTTACAAGCCTACAAGCCTATTTTAATGATTACCCAAACATGATGTGTTTTCTTTAAAGCAGATGCAGCATAAACTTCTCAAAAGTGACAAACCTTTGAATCACACAGATGTGTAGGAAGGACTGGAAGTTTGATGGGTTTTTCTTATCAAATTATATACACACAGAGATGCTAATTACTAGACCTCTTTCTCCAAAGTGCTTTTTGATCATCTTTTTTACAAGTTCAGGAAGCAATACCACTCTTAACTGGCTGTGCCATTTTTGTTGACTGAAAAGATGCTGGTTGGGCCTTGAGAGGCACTTCATCAGGGGCCAGCAGCATCTGTTGGAACTTGTAAATGGAAAGAGTTAAACAGCAAATGCTACAGATGATAATATTGGTCATTAAGTAATTGAACAAGGGAATTTCAGTGAATACTGAAAAACAAGCCTGGAGGAGCAGAGACTTTGCAAAAATATTTTTTAAAGCTAAGTGTTCCACTTCGGCTCATCTCTACCTTTGAGAGTATTGGATCCTGTTATGCAGCATGACAGGTACCTTTTCACACTGCTGCCTAACTGTTAACATTTAGAATACAGTAATTTGTGAAAGGTCAGTATATTCTCTTAGAAGTTCTTGTAATGTCTCTATGTGACTTCAGAAGGAGCCCCCCAGCACTTGTCCAAGCAGAAAGTGTATCTAACAAATAGCTTTTAATGTGATTATATTGCTTATTACACTGGTTTTGAACTTGGGCCCCAAAGAAGCCTTCCAAAGCATTGGTTTTCAATTTGTGGACACTTCAGGGAGTTGACGACAGAGAAAGATTGAAAACCACCACTGTGTAGTATATGCATAAATAGCTTTGGATATACTGCAGCAAAAATTCACAAAGTAAAAACGTTGGGGTTTCACAAAAGCAGACAAACTAACTAGCTAAACCTGCTGTGCTTCTGCCCATAGACATTGCAGAAATAAGCAGGTGAAGTTTGAGGCTTGGAACCACTGCTGATGGCGGTAGGCTGAAGTACAGTGTGTATTTCAGCCTGGATGTAATTACTTCTGGTTGCTTGCTTTTTGCTCACTCCAGAGCCTTGTTTTTGCAGATGGACCAGCTGCGTATCCAGTCCCGGTGCAGAACACCAAGCCACTACTTACTGTCAGCTTCACATCGGGAGACATCAGTTTAATGAACAACTATGACGACTTGTCTCCTACTATCATCCGCTCAGGGTTGAAAGGTACAAAAGGAAGCCATTTCACCCCCTTCCTATGCTCTGTTTTTCTTGTATATTTAGGTTGTAGTGTAGGTTATGTTTTTGCCATTGTCTCTCCTAACCCAGGAGCACCCGGCCACCGTTATTGCCATTTCCAGCGGTGACACCTGCTGGTGGAAGAGCAGCACTTGGCTGATACAGTTCCTGTGTTTGAAAAAATGGTTACATTTTTGAGATCGTGGTTTTATGGCAGTTTTGTAGAGCAATTGATGTGTTTGCTATTTTTCAGCTGAATGTGCTAATATGTTTATGCTTCTTTGTGTGAATGCCTCTGCTACGTAACACTTCCTTTGTATGTTTAATTCACAAGGTCTCCTCCCATGCTTTTGGTAACCAGGTATGAATTGCAATGCTGCTTTGACTCCCACAGATTTGGAAAACTTGCTAGAATTATTAATTATCAAGAGGCAAGTTATTCTGAGAGAAGGAAAATTCCACTAATTAATTACTATACATCTTGCTAAGTGATGAGCGCAGATGTTTGTACTATCACTATTCCATGTAAAATCTTTAATTCACATTGAAGTTTTTACTGTTCTTACCTATCAAAAAAGTGCCTTACTTTGCCGGCACTCTCAGTACAAGTTACGGTGCTTTGCCTGCAGAGACGTTCTAATTCACTATGGCACATAAGCACATACTTACATATAGGTTCCATTTGATTCTTTTTCATCTCCACCGGTAAATCAGCTTTATATTAGATTTAAAAAAAAAAAAAAATTAAGCCGTTGGAGCAGACTTTTAGCTGGTTTGTAACAGCAGGATATTTTTGGTGAAAAGTTGCCCTAACACCAGCCCAGTAGTTTTGGGGTGATCCACTATGTAGGATCCACTAGCCTTAGGAGGTAAAAAAATCACCTTTGAGGTTTCTTTTCCACTCCTGTGTCCATCTGTGCCAACACAAGAAGCACATGGCTGGCAAAATGTAGCATCATGAGGCAACCCTATGGTCCAGAAAACTTCTTCAGCTGAAAGGATGCCTAAAGTCCAGGAAACCGGAGCCAATTTAGAGAAGCTCTTGTAATATCCACTACCGAGTCTGCCTAGAATCTCTACAGTATTATAGTAACGAGGGTAGGGAGCAGTCTTGAGTTGTCATCTAGTCTAGCTTTCAGCTGGAAACAGTAGGAGGAACAAACCCTGTCTTATTCTCTGTTTAGACGTGCAGAGCTCTGTCTTGCTGAGGATGTCTGTCCTGTTTCTCTTTCCCCATTGACTTTCACTAATGGAAGAAAGATCCTTTAATTACGTCACCCTTCTCTAGCAAAATATTTATGTGCAAGCTAGAGTAGAAATGTTCTTATGAATTGTGAACTGGGCTCCATCTTTTTCATCAGTAGACAAAGAATGTGCAACATCTTGCTGGATTGGGAGCGTGTGTGAGAGAAAGGTGATTGGGATATCACTGTTGTTTTGAAGCATTGTACAGTGGAAAGTATTTTACATATAGTTTTATATAGATGTACACATTTTCTGTATCTTCTTACCAAGATTTTTCTCAAGTGATTGTAATTTTACTGGTGTTTATCACATGCAAGAATGTATGAAACCGCCCAGCTCATGGTCTCCATCTTCTCCAGCCACTTTGTATTCTGCTGAGAGTGGATGGTCTTCAGTACTGTGTGTGAGTCTTAATTCATGTGTTTCTGTTTAAAATCTGTAAGTATTGCTTTGTGGTCTCTGCAGCGGATGGCCTGGTCTTTATGGGCTGCTGTAGGCTACTCAATGTATTTTTAAAGCAGGCAACTATAAAACTATTTCAAGCATTACCAATATATTTTTCCTGTTCTAGTAGCTTTGCATAGCTGTCATTTTACTGGGAGTATTTGTATTAAATTGATGCAGAAAAATATTTGCTGTTGGATGAGAATTTGTTTACCCAAACACAAGTTCTTCTTTTCATCCAGCTTGAACACTCCTGGAAATTTTATCAGTTCTAGTGGAAGTCCTGAACTGTTCAGTTGTATCCTTTTTTTATGCTTTTTAACTCAGTGATTCTCAGTACACTGCAACCTGCAGAGCTGCTGAACTGCATCTACTAGTTGTACTAATTAGCTACAAGTATTACCTGCAGAGCTGTTGCACATTTAGAGTGCTATCTATTCAAGGTTTGCTGATATACATGCCTGTAGTGGCTGGCAAGTAGTTTTGAGGGATGGCTCTGATCCACTGATTAACTTGCAGACCGTTAGTATAGATGAAACCTTCATCTGATTTCTAATCTCTGTGCTTGCGCTGAGACCTAGTTATCAGTTGAGCTATTTTACACCAAGGTTCAATAATCATTGAAGACCCCGTTGGCAGTGCAAGCGTGCTGTAGAGCCACTCTGTCCCAGGAGGATGCTGCAGCCCACGTCCATCCCTTTGCTGCCTTTGCAGCAGCCTAATTCTAGGTGTTTAGAGAGAGAGAGAGAGAGAGAGAAAAAACTGCTGGACACGGTAATCACTCCTCTTCCTCTTGGTATGGGGATCGGCTGAAAGTTTTACCTGAGGACATGTATTCAAAGGAGACTGTTTTTTTCACTTTGGTACTTGTGTAGTTAATCCAGTTACCAAAAGTGGAGTTGATCAGCTTGTCTCATTGGTTTCTAACCTGCCTATCATTATACTCTCTGAGAAAGATTAATAAATCCCATTGCAAATTACTTAGAGGGCTGAGGACTAAGAGGAAAAAAGAGGCATACAGTGCCTAGCTGTGGAAAAAATCACAGAATCGTAGAATGGTTTGGGTTGGAAGGGATCATCTAGTTCCAACTCCCTTGCCATGGGCAGGGACACCTTCCACTAGACCAGGTTGCTCAAAGCCCCATCCAGCCTGGCCTTGAACACTTTTAGGGATGAGGCATCCACAGCTTCTCTGGGCAACCTGTTCCAGTGCTTCATCACCCTCACAGTGAAGAATTTCTTCTTTATATCTAATATAAATCTACCCTCTGTCAGTTTAAAGACATTACCCTTTGTCCTATCGCTACATGCCCTTGTAAAAAGTCCCTCTCCAGCTTTCTTGTAGGCCTCTTCAGATACTGGAAGGCTGCTATAAGGTCTCCCCAGAGACTTCTCTTCTCCAGGCTAAACAACCCCAACTCTCTCAGCCTGGCCTCATAGGAGAGGTGCTCCACCCCTCTGATCATCTTTGTGGCCCTCCTCTGGACTCAATCCAACAGGTCCATGTCCTTCGTATGTTGGGGGCCCCGGTGCTGGATGCAGTACTCCAGGTGGGGTCTTACCAGAGCAGAGCAGAGGGGCAGAATCACCTCCCTTGACCTGCTGGCCACGCTTCTTTTGATGCAGCCCAGGATACGGTTGGCTTTCTGGGCTGCAAGCACACATTGCCAGGTCATGTTTAGCTTCTCATCAACCAACGCCCCCAAGTCCTTCTCCGCAGGGCTGCTTTCAATCCATTCTCTGCCCAGCCTGTATTTGTGCTTGGGATTGCCCCAACCCACATGCAGGACCTTGCACTTGGCCTTGTTGAACTTCATGAGGTTTGCACAGGCCCACCTGTCAGGCCTGTCAAGGTACCTCTGGACAGCATCCCTTCCCTCCAGCATGTCGACTGCACCACACAGCTTGGTGTTGTCAGCAAACTTGCTAAGGGTGCGCTCAATCCCAGCATCCATGTTGCCAACAAAGATGTTAAACAGCGCTGGTCCCAATACCAACACCTGAGGGTTGTATTATTATTATAAAAATTGTATTATAAAAATTATCTTGGGGAACATGCATCTTGCCTCTGATATGTACAGAAGCATAATTCCCATGAGAAATATCAGAAGGTTGAAATAATACAAAACCATTTTAAACTGCACATGAAAGTCCCTGAAAATGACAAGTTGACAACTTGAAACAATTTTGAGATCCCTCCTGCCAACTCTCATTTCTCTCCTGCTTCTTCATTTGAAGACAGCTTCTCGCCCACAAATGTCTTCAAAAGGTTCTTGGCAGATTGAGCATCCCAGAGCACAAAAGTTTTGTCTTTACCTTCACTTTGTCTCAGCACAAAATAGCTGCCTTTCACCTCCCATATAAGAGTAAAAAGGTTTAAAGACTGGCTCAGTATTCCTTGCACATGCAAATCTGCCTCCGAATCACAAGCAGAAACACAAAATACTGGTTTAGTGCTCTTGCTGAAGTGTGACAAAGAGCTGGAGGGTATAAGGATTTGAAATTAGCATCCCCAAATTAAGCTGTGGGTGTTCCTCATCATGAGGTGCCTGTAGGAGAAGTAACTCATATGTATATTCATATCCATGTATATGAGAGACTAAGCAATTCCTGTGTGCTTCTGGCAATCTCCTGCTAGACATGAGTAGATTTTCACAAGTCATGTGTCAAAAGAAAACATATGACATGGAGGCCATCTGTATTTATGGACAAAAATCCAAAAATCTTTCTAGTTTGGTGTTAAACTAAAATATAACTCTAGTTTGAGTGGTACTAAAAGTTATATTCACAGCCGGTGAGAACATGAGGCATTGCCAAATATGCTGCCATTTTGCCCTGTAGGCCATTCCAGACAAATACTCTTTACTGCTTTCCTTGTCAGTGATGTTATTTATCTGCATATTAACTTAATTCCAGTTATTTACCCCAAAGATGTGGGTAGGATCTTCCACATCAGTTTTACCATCTCTAATAAATTCTTGTACTTAGGGAGCAACCACTGGTTACATTCAAGACTTACCACAGAGAAAGAAAAATGATTGGTTTTACACTTTTTTTGCAATTTACAAAACAGAAAGAGAGAGTCATTCTCAGAAGTGCATATGCAGCAGATTTGCTACTATTTCGATGAAAGGATTTAGGTTTCTAAGTACTTAAGTAACCTTTGAGAGCATGATTTAGCTGTTCAAGTCATGTTGTAGCATCTGGAAATGCTGTTCCTACTGATTCTAATCAGTGATTATTGCAAACTGTCTTTGCAATTTCAGATGTGGTGGTACAGTGGTGTACACAAGGGGACCTACTTGCAGTAGCAGGCATGGAGAAGCAAAGCCAGCTAGTTGACCTCGGCAATGGTTCCCTGTTGAAAAGCGCACTTGTCAAGTTCTACAATGTGCGTGGGGAACATATTTACACTCTGGAGACACCTGTGCAGGTAGGAGGTATTTTTTAAGTCAGTTCTCAGTGCTTTGCTGACATGCTTTTCCCACATCAGTTCTTTGGTATAGACCTGCAGTGTGAAAAGGTTTACAAAACGTCCTGAACACGTTCTAAAATATGATATAGATAAAAATGCACTATAAAAAAATTACTGTTTGCATTAAGGTAGACATCCAAGAGTGCATCTGTTTCGAAGAATGACTATTCTAGGTATTGTGCAAATATATAATGAGAAACAGTCTGTTTCCCAAAACCATTGGGCTACGAACAGACAAGATAGAAAAAGGAAATTCTCTTGTTTTACGGCTAAGCGACTGAGGAGAAAAAAACTGGATAACTTGCTTGACATTGTAGTAGAGCCAAGAACTGGACAAAAATATTCCAAGTCCAATGTCATAACAAGATTATTCTCTCTTTGTTATTGCTGTAATTTTCTCATGTACAATCAGTGGATCTGATGCAATATTTTACTTTTTACGGCATCAGATGAAGAAGGATGAATCAGAAAGTCTTGTTTCTGTTTCCACCTTCTGTAGAGACTTTCACTGTAGCCTCGGTCGTGTTACTTGACAAGTAAATGTCAACACGTGGTCTGTGTGCTGCTTAGGAGCAGAACATGCTTCATAGGTGTTCACTGATATTTCAGAACCCAGCTGAATGTCACTCTACAGTTTATTTCATTTTCTGCAGAATAGGGATGACTCTGTTCTGATTTCTGACTATACTAATGAAAATTACTTGATTTATAATAGCTTTGAAATCTAAAAGTGAAGGAAAATGCTACAGATATATTTAGTTAGTTATGTTTAATGATGATACCGTTTATTATCATTTCTTTTTCAGTACCCTGATCTGGGATGGATACAAAAGGATGATGTAGTAAACCAGCTGCTAAGCTTTTGTGTTTGCTTATATTTAGCATTAACCTGTGCTTATTAACGTTAGCAGTCTAATTTAGATAGAATTCTTTAGTTTTGTAATGTATAAAATAATGTTCTCTAAAGCCAACCTAAATATGTACAGTGATGTCTAATGCTGATTTAGGTATCTAAAGGACTTACCCATACATACAGCTTCATTGTCTTAAACATAGCCCTTCCAGCTAAGTAGCACAGCCCTTTCCTCTTTGGATCGATTCTGGAGAAAACGTATTTATACCCATGTTGCTTATTCCCAGACCAGGTAAAAACCAACCCCTGTTACTTCAGTACCAGAATACCATATGTCCATGTTAGATGTTGAACCAGTGTAACACTCTGGTGTCGAGTCGTGAAATCAGGCTGTGGTTTGAGCAGTGGAACTGATGGGGTCAGGTTGCCTTAAGGTGTGCGTGTGTGCCAGATCATCTCTTACTGCTCTGTCCCTAACTTTGTTCCAAATCGCCTCAAACGCCTTCATTTCCTCTAGTTCTCCCTATATCCCACCAACTTTTTTTCACCTTTTCAGCTCTTCTTTCTCCTCTACTTAATCAGCTGGGAGAAAGCGCGTATTGTGGCTGACATGAGGGCTAATTATTCTGCCATTATATGAGTACATAGGACAACTGACAGGTCATACAGAACAGGTAACTGCCAAGTTCATACTGACGTATTTCTCATAGTGACAATATTAACATGAGGCTCTCTGCTCTTTCCAGCTGCTAATTTTCACTGAAATTGCAGCATTTTAACATCATGGAGATTTCTTCCCCCTTTGTCAACTTCAGATGAAAAGCCAACAGCTTCAGAAGTTGTAAGCCAGGTTGGAAGTGAAGGATGGGGGGGTGGCAACCACCAATTAATAACGCAATCATGGAGTCTAATTTCCGTAGGAAACCAGGGTAAAAATAACATTCAAACTGATGTATTTATATTTATTAAAAAACTGTGTGCTTAAACCTGCCTAAAATTAGAGCCACTCCTCTTCTTTCATTAGTTAGTGTTTATTCTCTTTATTTAGTGCATTTAAATTCCCGTTTACTCAGCTGCAGGAGGAAGTGAGGGGGTCTTTCAGAAGGACACCTGTATCTGCTCATGTGGACTTAATGCTTCTATGTATTTGAATGCTGGTCTAACAGTATTACCAGCTAAGTGACAGGTATGCTAGAACATTGCTAAGTATTTGGTTTACTAACAAAACCAGATTAAAAAAACCCTGTTGCAAAAAAAATTGCTAGTAACTTTTGTTATTCTGTGTCTCTGCTCCAAAGATGTATATGTAAAGATGACAGAGTGAGTCAGTGGTCCCAGTAATTTGTCTGATGACAGATTCATCAGAGTAAATGAATTTGTTTTCTGTACCATGACAGTCAGCCTTGTAATGGGATTTTATACAATTCATCACTGGTTATTGAAGAAAAGAAAAGAATTTCCTCATTTCGAACTCTTCTGCTAAAACTGTTTCTTGTGAAGCAAGCAAATGTGTGACTGGAAAAGCACATTTATTCTAAATGGGCGTTGTTCTGAATATAAAGGTCAAAAAAGGTAAAGCAACAACGAACATAGAAAATAGAGGGTTACAGGTGCAAAACTGATTTTCCATGTGGTCCTCTCTCCCAATTCTTTGATAAAGCAGACATCTGAAAATTTTATCAGTAAAATATACTGATCTGTTTTTGTTTCTGCTCTTTGTCTGTCCTGTCTTTGGTAGGATATTCAGGAAACAAGAGATTTTATCATTTATAACAAAACTCAGTCTAAAACTGATGTAGGATTTATACGCAACTTGGCTGGAATGTTACCTAACATAAAGTCACTGCAAACCCCAAGGTAGAACAGATTTGGGTACTGCAGGTTACTCATCTTGATGATGACTGTTGACATGGATCCCTTCAAGGTGCCACCTTCTCCTCCAGCTTTAGTATGGTTTTGGCATCCTCCATCTCATTTGATTAACTCACTTAAGCTCTCACCTTCCGTGTAGGATTTTATGGTTCATAAACCTAGTTTGCTGACTATAAAACCCTAGACAGGGAAATCACACTTGTTTAGAAGTATCCTAATGAACGCAGTAGCTTTGCATGAAAAATAACACTCATAAACAGAGTGGTAGAGTTAGCGTAGTGTAAAAGTATCTCTTGTTTCCTGCTCTGGGGCTTCAGCCTGCCACCCTGACATGCTGCAAGAATATATTTGCAGAATATAGTGGAAAGAACTGAAAAAGCATTGGTAAGGGTTGGGCAAATGTTGAACTTCTGCTACACAGAATCAAACTGTTTTGAACCTTGAAAGAATGATGAACAAATTTCAGAAGGGACTTCAGAAAGTCACACCAGACCTTTATCGTATTAGAAACAATTATAGAAAAACCAGGTCCATCCTGTGACCAAGGACTTGATTTTATAAATGAAGAGTGTATCTTACTTGTTTTATAAATAAACAGCATATCTGAAAGGCTGTTGATCAGCTGATAACTATTCAAAAATATACTGTCAATTTCTATAAAACTTAGCTCTTGCTATGCTTGCCCTTGTGTACACAAACACTGACATGATGAACCAAAAATGTGTCCAGTTCTTTTAGCTGGCAGTTTTTTCATGGTCTTGTGATTACAACAGCAGGCTGCCCTGGTGCTCATAATTTTTTATTGGAAAAACGTTAATTTCTTATGTTCTTTGTTAAATCCTCATAGCACTTCCCTGGCATCAAGCAGGGATGAGAATAATCAACTCATTCAAGACTGTTTTACAGTCTTGCTAAAATTGTTTCCCGGAAGTGCTGCAACCCAGTTCTGTCATTTCAGAATTCCTCATCTGATGTGCAGACAGGTCTTTATTATATCAGTTAACCATACCTGCTGTCATAAGGCTCTCTTCTGAGTGGATGATCTTCTGCTTCATATCTTCCCATCTGAACTTTAAACAGAGGAGTCTCCTGCAGGATCACTTCAAAATTACCTGCCAACTTTACCAAACCTGTGAAATTATTCCGTCTGATGTTGTGGCTTATATTTTGGTTCCTTCCTTGCTTTTTATAATTTTCTTTCCTATATGTCCCAGAGAGGACCAGGGGAACAAGAACATGGATTTTGAAATCATGATGCTGATCTCTTTTATACACCTATAATCCTAGAGTAAATTTACATTATCTTACGATTTTATACTACTGTGTAACTGGTGTAAGAACAGATTAAACCTCAAGTGCAATGAAGAAGAAGGATAAGAGTGAACTGAGCCCTGTATGTTCCAGAATCAGCTGTATAGGCCACAAGATTAGGTGCAGAAAAGCTGTGATCACATTTTTATCAGTGTAGTATTTTTAAACCCTAATTCAAAGTGGTGTACCAAAGGCTAAATCTTTGTGGGAGAGATTTCCAGGACTCTTTGAGAAGACGACCCACTTGCTCTAAACCTGCTGCTGTCAGCAGCAGCCTTCACAGCATTTCACGGGCTGCTTCTCTACTGCCAGTCCTGACATCTGAATGGATAGATTTAAGATTATGTGGTCCTGCAGAAACCTGGTAGTTGTGTAGAAGCTATTTTACTAAGGCCTGAGAAGGAGGCTGCCATTTTAGGTTAAATTCAGATCAAAAGGCTTTGAGAGAAGAGGCTGACTTTTATGTTACCCAGCTGAGCTGACCTTGCTTACTTTGTCTTCATTTATTTCACATAGAGTGTTCGGGTTTGTTGCTTCTGAATTAATGTTACCTTTCATGTGTATCGCCTGAAATTAATCCTATTTAGGTGTTATTGGATGACAACAAAGCTTCAAGAAGAGTTTATTTTCTTACAGAAAGAGAAACAAGAGCAACAGTTTAGAACTAGCTGGTGAAACGTTCTTTGGTATATCAGTAAGGACCTTGATGTTTTCCATATAGGCCATAAGATCATCTCTGACTGCTGCAGAAATGGGTCATGATCAGGACTGGAAAATGGAGACACTTGTCTAAGCAAAGACTCATTCTGCTAAAACGAAATCTCATTGTTGTATTGAAATCTAAAAAAAAAAAAATTACTGTAGAAACAGGGTGTAAGGATCATCTGCAAATCAAATAAGAGTTTGCTGCATGAAGAATCATCTAAAGCCACAGCAGGGTAATTTCTTACCACATCGTAGTCTTTATTGCTTTTATCACCATCAATTCTTACTAGTTAATGTTATTCCCACTGTAAATATGTGGAACAGAAGAATGAAGAAGTTATGCAGCAGCCATCCATGAATGCTGTGGCAGTAGAGATGTGCACACAATTCACAAGAGCTGGGTGAGCACTGCAGCCATTGCACCTTCCAGCTTCTCTCTGAAAAAAGCAGAGGGAAAAATGCATGTCTCCACATCAGCAGTCTTAAAGTGAGAGAAAGCAGGCAACGTACGTCAGAGTCTGTCTTACACATACCATTCACTAGATTCTATTTTGCAGTTGGGTTCTTTCTCCTGAGAAAAATCCCACTTGTTACTGGGCTTTCTGCCCTGGAATACCTTTTGTATTGCATTACCAGTGGGACTCCCAGTGCCAGCAGACAAGGGATGAGCGCAAGCAGCAGGCAGGCCCCATGGCTCAGGATTTCTGAGCTCAAGGCAGGCAGCGAGAATCAGCTTGAACAGTGTTTTCATTGACTGAACTGTATACAAGTGATGAAAGGTACCTAAATTATGTTCTCTCCTGTAAGAGAGACAGATGAGTGACTTATAAGAAGCAACCACAGAGCTTGAGCAAGAATATCCATTCCTGCATGCTTTTCTAAGGGGAGTCAACATCCCAGCTGGGAATAGAGCCTTGAGTAGATATAGCTGACTTTCAAGCTCACTCTGAAGAAAATGGCAAAAGAGCTCTTTGTTGGCCACTTTTTGAGATGTGTTTTTTGTCAATATTTCTCTTGAAGAGAGATAAAGAGATAAAACATCTCTTTTTTTTGTCCTTTAGCCAGTTATTTCTAATATATAATTGTCATAGAGCTGAATCCTATCTATGTGTAGAAGTTCAAGGGTTTTTTCCAGGATTTTTTTTCCTACATGTTTGTATTTAAACCCTGGAATTCATTCAGGTATTTACAGTTTGTGCTGGGATTTTTCAAAACCTGATGGGATTTTTATATGCAAATTGAGATTAGAAATTATCATTAGACGTTATATTTGTAGCTGCATTTTCTTGTTCCTAGCAGAAAAAAAACAAGTGTGCAAACACAGAAAATAAAATTCTTCTGTGCTAGGATCTGCTTGTTTATTTTCTAATAGGTGCAATATGGGTATCAACAACTTTTTTCCTTCCTTTTTTTGCTAAAACAATGCAAATAAGTGGATGCATTATGAGGAGCAATACTTTTGCATTGGGCATTGGAGTTCAATCGTGTTTTCTCAGCAGAGTTTGGAAGGAAAGCTGTGGTGAGCTCCTAACTGACTTACTGCAGTAATTGATTCATATCCCTTGTCTTTCACGGGAAGGAGTGAGAAGCGTAGCTATTGAAAAATATTATTGGAGCAGTACATTTAAAGGTCAGGTCAGATCTGACATTTGAGTGATCTTTTATTTCTCCAAGCCTGTAATGACAGAGTAATTTTCCCTGAACCTCATCTTAAATCTTAGCCCTTCACTGTAAAAGAAGTATTGTTGGATACTAGGCTTGAAGAGTACTGGGGGACTGACCATTCCGTAGAAAAGGCAGGCAAGGCATGTCTGGTGAATCAGTAAGCAAAGAGAAACCAGTATGGTACAAGCAGTCTTTGATGAGATTGAAAATATTAAGATTAAAACATGTGAGGTGTGTGGGGAGACTAAATGTACAAATGTAGGAGTAGAAATGTCGTGATTTACAAACAGTACAACACTTGTAGGTATCATGTGTGTGCGCGTGTATTTAAACATGCACCCACTCACATATTGTTTACATAAAAATACATAAACAGAATATAAGAGAATCAGACATTCAGAAGTTTAGAAGATGGCTGAACTATGGTTGCCTGTTGGGAAACGGTGGTGAAATCATGCAGTGAGGCAATGCCTTTCGACTTCTGACTTTCTACTCTTCCCCAGTTCCACAGTGCTGCGTTGCCAGAGGCCCCACCCAGCATTTGAAAGCTTCTGAAAAACCTGCTCCTTGGGAATATGTTTAAGATTGCAAAGGTTCTTGCACTGGTGCTGTCTGCATCTCTGCTGTTCTCTGCATGCAGTGGTAACCTGAGGAGAGAAGTGGTTTCATTTGAGGCTATTTGGATGAACAGAGGCCTATCTGAGTGTGGTGTGTTGGGTTATAATAGCTGCAATACTAGATTTCATGGTAGGGCTATCTGGGCGAGCTGTATTGGATTATGATAGCTGGGATATTAGACTTCTCTTCTGGTATTAAGCTCTATCCAGTAAATAAACATTTGTGTGCTAAGTCACATACTTGTTTGTTCCTATACTGTATTTATAGGTAAGCTTTAGTTGATGCAAGGTGAACAGAAGGATGTGGTTTGCATCCCACGGGAACGCTCAGGTAGATAGTTCTGCCCATACTGGGTTTCAGCCTTTGGGGAAATCAGGGTCACTTCTACTGATGCCTTTCTCAGGCTGTTATATAGTAGATGTGGCAGGTACCTAACTTGTGTCAGTGCCTTTTCAATTGCATTTATTTTGCAAGCAGTTTGAACTGTGTCATTACTGCCAGACCGTGTGAGGACTGAGCCACACTCTCAAATCATGAAAATACCAGTCAGTCAGGGATACTCTATGTGATCTCTGATCAAATTTAAGGCTCTGTCCCACAGATTACGGTTATGACAAGCATGTAATAATTATTGATGGTACACAAAGGATTTCTCAATTCTTTTGAAGTTCTCTACTACAAAATGCCTTTAGCAATTACTGCGAAAATCACAAGGTTCACATGTTGCTGCTTTCTATTTGCATATCAGTCAGCCTTAAAGTTTGTGCCTCTGTGGAAATGTGTGTGTGTGTGTGGTGTTGCCTAGATGTAATGAAAATGACGCTTCTTCATTCCTCCTGCTTTAAAACCCATATTTTCCTTGAAATTTAAATCTAGGATGACATAGGAGGGGAAGATCTTTTCTCTGAAAAAGTTTTTGTCCAACCCTTTATCTTGATGACAGACATTGATACAGTGCTGTGCAGCTGCATTTTGCTTCGTATCATTCACATTAAAAGTTTCTCACCTTTAAGCATCTTGGATTTGTAACTGAAGGGAAAGCTTTTGTCCCCAGACTAGATTAGTAACTTCTGGTCTGATCTAATCCAGCTATCTGGGTACCACGTTACTAGAGAGGAGTGGATAAAAGTTACTACTGATGGTGCCTTGACCCTTATCTTCTGTATAGTTAATTCTTGTTTTGTGCATCTTGTGAAGAGCAAAGATACTCCGAAGAGACCCTGACCTTTCAGCAAATACAGTTCATAATTTAGATGAAAAACATGTTTGCATAAACTTTCGAGTGTCACGGATTGTGAAAAGAAGGGAGCCCATCACAGGAAGGAGTAAATCTTTTGTAGTTCACTGATTACAGCCTGCTGCACGGTATTCTTCATGGATTGAGAGTTTCTTCTTTACTCTGTGTTGTTTATTTGTATAGAGATAGCAGCTACAGGATTGAAATTCCATACAGTATGTGTATATATACAAATGCAGATGCTTTGTGACACAGAAAGCAAGAGATGACTGGTGGCACAGACTGGTGCTTTACATGAAAAAGATGGGGTTTAGGAAGAGAGTTTAGAGAGCTCCTCACAAGCACAACTCAGTATTCTCACATGAACTCTTAATGTTCATGCAGCAGGGAATAATGTCCAAAGCAGCGTTTGAGTTGTTTATTGTTATTCTGCTCCGCATTCTGACACTTAGTACCAGTCACCCCTGACTCTTTCTGTTTTTACTGTCATGAATTTAGACAATTCTGAGTGCAGACAAGCAGAAGACAAAAGGCCGTTCTGTTTTGTTCCTGGTGCTCTTTCAGAGCTCACTTCCTCTGGGGATAGTTCAAGAGATACTGTGCAGCAGAAGACTCAGTGCAAGACAAGAAAGCCAACTGGGTTTTGTCCACTAGTTTACCAAGTGTCTCTGGGCATATAATTTAACTTTTCAGTTGTAAAATGTGAGCTGTTACCAATGGATAAGGATTGATTAGGTGACTGAAAAAATCATCTGGATAGGGCATCAAAAGATCCTGCTTTTTAACACTGCATGACTCCAAAGTCACTTATCCTGTCTAGGTAATGAATTTGATAGACAATTCCTTGTGTGAAGAGCTTTAAGCCTTGTGAGTAAAAAGCACTGTATAAACATCAACTGCTGCTATCAATAATTTCAGATGTTCACATTCTTCTCCCTTTTTATGGGCAAGAGCGTGTACTTACAAGTTTCTGGAAGATTTAGGGTGACATGATTGGTGCTGAATTCATGTGATCACTTGCTGTGCAACTATCTTGGAGAAAGTACAGGCTCTTCTTCAGTGGTATCCTTTTCCTCTCCATGCAGCGTCCCATCATCTCGATCTGTTGGGGTCACAGGGATTCGCGCCTGCTGATGGCTTCCGGACCTGCATTATATGTTGTCAGAGTTGAGCACAGGGTCTCCAGTCTGCAGCTGCTGTGCCAGCAGACCATCGCTAGCTGTCTGCGGGATGACAAGGACATCAGCAAACTGACCCTGCCCCCTCGGCTCTGCTCGTACCTCACCACTGCCTTTATACCAACAATCAAGGTAAAATGAAAGAAGTGTGTGTGTGAGGAAGAGGAAAGGGTTGCTTCATTTCCCTCCTGTGGTGCTCCTAAGTGACAATGGATAAGTTTTAAGATATTATAATTATCGTAATTATAATTTTAAAAGCTTGATTAAGGGTCATTTCTGTCCTCTTCAAGAGCCCACTGATCCATTTGGTGCCTATTAAAATCTGAAAAGAAGGCTCACGCATGCTGATCTGCATTATTGCATGGGGATGGCCTTTCCAAGGACATCCCAAGGATAAAATATACTGGTGACTCACAAAGACTTCTGGAGAAGCTCAGACTGATAATACTGCGTCACAGTTGTAAGAGAGACTCACAGTGGTAAAACTGTTGCCTCCCTACTTGTTACATGAGTCCTTATATTGCCAGGGAGGTTATACTTAAGACCTGTGGCTGCCCAAATATTTCTGCTGACAGTGATTTCTGCTAACCTTACTGCTCCAACAGTGCTGTGGAAAAATGAACTAGATGTTACGCCTTTTCCTATACTGCTAGCAGAGCCATCTGCTCAGCCCCTTTGTTTCATGGTTTTGCCCTCAGGATTTCTGAACTCTTTATCACAGCCTATAAACTGCAGCATTAGCTGGTAAATGCCCTACATTCAAACATATTTTTGTGTTACGTATTTTTTGTGTATGTGTTACAGCATTCTTTTGAACTGTTTCAGGTCCTTGTTAAAACAATGCAGAGGTAGAATAACTAATTTGAAATCAGTGGAGTTGGCCCAGCTTAAATGAGAACAAATTATGCCTATAAAATAATGATTCAGCACAGTTCCATTTGGATACTACTAATCAGGGCAATTTGTGCATCTGTGAAACACACCATTTGCCAGAGAAGAGCAAATGCCTTGCTGTAACCATAACTCTTCAGTCTGCAAAGATACGGAGTATTTAACAGACCAGTGGTTCTCGGTTCTTTTTATCAGGCCTACTTCTGCCCAGGATGCTTTCCACGTTGTCCCAGAGCCACCCCTGCAGCTCTCTAGAGCATCAGTGATGCTTGCTTGTCTGTTAGGGAACGCAGGGGATGGGATGGGATGGGATGGGATGGGATGGGATGGGATGGGATGGGATGGGATGGGATGAAGGCAGCAGTTGGCTGTAGCAAGGCTGGGAGCCATGACAGGGATCAGAGGGGCAGAGGCAGTACAGGGGCACATCATTGCCGACAACCCTTCCATCACCTCCTAGAGGGAATGCTGTGGTGGGGAGCAGTCATGGGGCTGCATAGCTGAGAGGCTGAAGCAGGGTTCCCAGAAGCCATGTGCCCCTGCTGATTCATGGGTGTTTCTGGAGCCTCCTCAGCACTGCTTTGTACTTTGCCCTGGCTCTCCCCCAGCCACATACTCCCACCTACATTGTCAGCCATGCCTCCAGTGCCTGGCAAGGCACCCTCTTCCCTGCAGACATTCCTCTTTGCCCTCCAGCTTGCGGACTACATTATAGATCACTCCTCAACCCATATCTATCTCACCAGGCTAAGGAGGCTCCTTTTTTCCCCTACATTTTTTTTTCTTGTACTTTCATTCTGAAAGAAACTGTGTTAGTGTATACACATTAGTAGTATTTATGCACTACAGGCTATATCATCCTAGACAAAAGTAGTCCAACTGCTTTAGGACTGAGCTTTTCATGGATTAATACAGTGTGCTGGCAAGCAGGGCAAAATAGTTTTTACTTTCATTAAAAATAATCCAGCCACCAAGCCAGGAAACACAAAATTGCTACTCTGCCCTTAACTGGTTTAGTGGTGGACTTGGTAAAGTTAGGTTAATGGTTGGACTGGATGATCTTAAAGGCCTTTTCCAACCTAAACGATTCTGTGATTCTATGATTTCTCCACATGGCACGCAAATAGGCCATCAGCAAAGATGGGTCATTGCTTGGAAGCGATATAAGAAGTACAAGCTTCTTCCAGAGCTGACAGCATTGTAGCATAGTGGCATAGCATGTACCAATACTAACCAGGAATGGGAACCTGAGTGGCCAAGTTCTCTTGGAGGGCCAGCAAGAGACAAGATGCTCTGAGACTTAGACTTGACCACATTACCCAAGTTAAAAGAGAAGTTTGTGATAGAGCCAGGACTTGAAGACAGGTTTGTTGTCTAATTCAGTGCTCTAACCACAGGTCCAACCTTCCTTTTTGATGTAACTAGTTTTAGTTTTCTGTGTACAGCTGCTTTTGACCTAACTAAATAATACACAGCCACTCTGTCTTGCATGTGGGTCCTGCATAACTCACACAGTGACCTGTACTAATCTTGACCTGGCAAGTTAGAGTTGGGTTCAAATTCAGTTAGTTGTGCTGGGATTAAGTCACCACAGAAAAAAAAAAAGAAAAAACAATAACCTACAGGAAACTTTTCTTTCCTTCCTTCATTTAATTAAGCCTCCTATCCCAGACCCAAACAATATGAGAGATTTTGTCAGCTACCCAACAGCTGGTAATGAACGGCTTCACTGCACGATGAAGCGGACAGAAGATGACCCAGAGGTCGGTGGTCCATGTTATACTCTGTACCTGGAATACCTTGGGGGACTGGTGCCTATCCTGAAAGGACGTCGTATCAGCAAGTTGCGGCCAGAGTTTGTCATCATGGATCCTAAAACAGATGGAAAAGCAGGTAGAATTGAATTGTGGCTCTGTGTAAAAAATGATTTAGAAATACTTCAGGTATTAAATCCTCAAGGGTTAAAGAAAATCTATGTAAGCAACATGGAAGATGGCATCTGATTTTTTTTTTCTGATGTGAAAAAAATCTTTAGCGTGACCTAGGCTCAAGCCTCTGAAATTATACCATGCTGTCTTCTGTTTTACAAAAGGGAACTTCTTATAGTGTAGTGACGAATAGATTGCTAATTAGCAGAAAATACACTTTAGTCTCGATTTTGAAGTTGATTGAACGCTATTCACTCCTCTGAATCATGTTCACTTGAGTTTGAACCATTGGAAATTTGGAGTTTATACTAGGCAGGGTGAAGAACAGTTAATTTTCTCTGCATGGTTTTATCTCAGCTGCTGCCTGTGGATCAGATTTATGCTTCTGATGACTGATAGTTGTAATTGATATCAGTTTTCTGAAGCAGCACTTACATTTTCTGGGGCCTGTCTTGATAGATGAAATCTATGGAAACAGCTTGATTTCCACTGTGATTGACAGCTGCAACTGCTCGGATTCAAGCGATATCGAACTGAGTGATGACTGGGCAGCAAAGAAATCTCCCAAAATCAGTCGAGCTAGCAAATCACCCAAACTCCCCAGGTAATAATTTATTGGATATTTCTTCTTCTTTTTCCCCAGGTTTTCTTCTTTTCTTTTCTTTTGTTTTTTTTTAAACACTGTCTTGACATCTCATACAATTAAAAGCAAACTTCTTTGGGAAGATAGGAGTCTTCTGGAGGAGTGGGGTCCTCTACAGTCTGCAGTTCTAGAGAACTCTCTCAGAGAATTCTCTCAGAGATTGGTGTTGAGGTGGACTTTGCGGAAGGTTCTGGGACAAAAGGTAATGGGAAACAATAGGGCACCACTTGTCCCCAGGCAGTCTCGAAGAAAGATTTTATAACCTCTCCCATCACTGCCTTGGCCACATGTAAACTTTTGCCACCATAGGATATATTTGTCCTTCAGACAATCTGTGTTTTTACCTCCTCTGTGCTTAGGGTCCCTAATCTAGTTAAAGCCTTTATTTCCTCAGGGGTATTTTCAAATTCATTAAGTCCATACATAGGTGACACAGATCCTGGCATAGGCAGCACTGCTGCTGTGGTGACCTTGCAAGGGAGCCTCAACAAACAGATCTTCTGTAACGATATGCAAAATAAGCTTATTGTTCATCTGGTTGCTTTCCTGCCAGCTCTTCGTTATATTCATTATGTACATAGACAGAACCCTCCACCTGCACAGAGCCTCACTGGTGTCTGTGATGTTTCTCATAGGTGCTGGCATCTATCTGCCAGCTTCCTGTTATGGGATTGAGGCCCTGATGCCTTCTAGCTGCAGCTGACACTTTTCCGAAAACCTTATATTATGAGCTTGTCCTAGTATAAGGCAAAGCAAATGCATCCCTTTATATGTGAACATAATGTGTGAAATACTGAAGTTCTAGTTTAGTAGTACCTGACGAAAGAACCATCAGTTCCTGAGCCTAAAACTGAAATGGTGCAGGAAAAACAACTATCCTGCATCCTTGGTTTTCTAAGACCGTACTTCTGAAATGTAACTTTTGGTCATTATTTTTTCTACCAGTGAGCTTTTTCAGGTGCTTGATCTCTTATTCATGACCCTCTTTGTATAGTGGGAGGTAGGAATAACTTTTGGCTTAGAGTAAGAGCACTGACAAAGTCTGTGGATCCTTGGTTTGCTGTACCTAACGTGGAGATCTGCCAGCAGAGGTGTCATGTTTGAGGCTTTGCTCAAAGTCTGCATAGGTGAAATAGCTCAGCCCGACACCTTTTATGGATTAGTGGAGGATATATTGTATCTGGCAGAACTGCTGTAAGCTTTTTTAAATGAATCAGAAAGCATCTGGTCAGAGTTATTGCAAGTGTGTCAGGTCTTATATATCTTTAAATTTGACCCGTAACTCTCCATCCTGTAGACTCTACAGTCTTCATTAGTCACTTAGAGGACACCATACCACTTGTCTTCATTACATCTTTACATTCAAAGACATGAATTTTGTGCATTTTTGTGTGCCTGTTGATGATTCTAATTATTGCTTTATATGCAGAATCAATATAGAAGCTCGCAAATCTCCAAAGATGTCACGAGCTGCACAGGAAATATCAAGATCACCAAGGTTACCAATAAGGAAACCTTCTATTGGTTCGCCAAGCCTAACCCGAAGAGAGTTTCCTTTAGAAGATATTACTCAGGTATTGTGTGCATTGTTACCAGACCTGAGTCCAAATGCATCTCCTTCCAGAGGCAGCAAGTTGTGATATAGATCCAATGATCACCAATAAAAATTTTTTATTTAATTACAATAACTGGATGGAACAACTAGAGAATTGCATCTTCCAGTTCAGTGTTAATGTTTGAAAGAGTCAATGGAATATCAGGCATTGTTTGATAAATCCTGGCACCGCTAACTTCTGTCAATGTGAATCCATGTGAGGAGTGTATGTGAAAATGCTTCTTATTCAGTTTCTCAGAGCTATCCTAATGCCACCATAGTTCTTTGCTTTGCTAGGAATTGCAGAGATATTGAAATGCTTGTTTCAGAGGGCCACATATTCTCTGTTTCATAATTCATAGACTCATAAAATCATAGAATAGTTTGGGTTGGAAGGGACCTTTAAAGGTCATCTAGTCCAACGCCCCCTGCAATGAGCAGGGACATCTTCAACTAGATCAGGAACATGGAATAGCCTTAATTGGAAGGAAGGCAAGGAATTAGCACTTTGTGCTCTTTGTGGTGTTCATGACCTGTGGGTAAATGAAACTTAGCAGGTTGTAGAACTGTCTGGGTTACATATTTTACTAATACCAACCTCCATTCTTTTAATTTTGTTTTGTTTCATTTCAGTTGCTTTTTTCTGCTCTGTCTTTTCACTTTTTCCTTTATATTGAAACATTCTAGATCACTTACATTGCAGCAGTAGATAGGACCAGAAGTCCTTTGAATAAGGCAGGAGACCAGAGGCTTAGATCTTGCTCCTGATATTGACAACTAACTCTTTGCCTTTGAGAAAATCTCTTGGTCTTTCAGATGCCTAATTTGATGACCATGGAAGCAGTGGTTTGGGAAGCTGTTTTGGAAGCTCCAGGAAAAATCTGTTTGTCATCATAAGCAATTAATTACTGTCTTAGTTATTGTTCTGTAAAGTGATTTGTAAGCATAGAACCAAAGGGCAGGGTGTATTACTTTCTGAAATACAGCATAGCCACGCTCTTGTTGTGCAGGAGAAGCAAGTGTCTGAAAACAGACCTATTCTCACTAGGCAGCCATCATGTTGTTCAGTTCTTCAACAGCTTTAATCAGCCTATGTGGCTGTTGTATACATCATTTCTGATAGTGATCAGATATCAAAATGAGACTTTAATGACTGGGTATAACAGTTGCGACATTAGGTACATTAGGCTGTTTCAATGAAATAAAAACAAGAGAAGCTGAAATCACTTGTGATGGCTTGATTGCTCTGCAGGTTTTTATTAGAGCTTGATACAGATTTTATTAGGTGAAAATGATCTTGTTTTTGCTTTGCAGCACAACTACCTTGCTCAGGTCACATCTAATATCTGGGGAACGAAATTTAAAATTGTGGGTTTGGCTGCTTTCCTACCAACTAACCTTGGTGCAGGTAAAAGTAAACTCTATTGATTTTTTGCATGTCAAACTCTTTCTAACAAACAACAAATTTATGTCATGTGATTCTTTTTAAGTGACCAAAAGGCTTTTTTAACAAAGTACTTGTTTTTTACGGACAGCAGAAATTTGATTTTACAAAATTCACTGTAACTAAAAGAGATTAAAATCTATAAATATAATAATGAGATGATCAATAAAATGTTAAAAGTCTCAGCTGTAGTAAAAAGATTAATTAACAGTCAAGCCCAGACCTTTATTTTTACAGTTTATTTGCACAAAACCCGAACAAATATAGAAAATTTTTGCAAGAAGACTGTAAAAGTCGCAGAGTTTAAGTTACTGTAATAGAAATATTTTTAAAACTCAGATTTTTATAGTCATTTAGCTGCTAATTATACCAAAATAATGTTAAAAAAGCTCTTACAGCATCATGCTCAAGATTCTTCAAGTCAGTGCATAGCCTTATATGGTTCTCTTGCTGGAGCATCAGTAAATTGGTAGCCTTCATTAAGTGCAGCAGTTGTCTAGTCTCTTGACCTTCTGTGTATGCCACTTCTCCCTAGATAGTCCTGTTGAAAGGAAGAAGGCTAAGTAAAGAACAGGGTACCACCTAGCAGCTCTGAATTGAAATATTAATGCAGGTATAGGAGTTTTACGAGCTCTTTGGAGAACTTATTTTTTCCTGCATTGCATTATATAGTTAGGTCAGGACTACGTAATGATGCAGAACTAGTTAAATAGACATCTTTTGTGGCTATATTGGCTACTGTTGGACAAGAGATGGAGTCCCAACTACTGGGAAGAGGACCTTCTCTGGCCCAGCCTTCAGGCAAAGTTTGTCATCTCTGGGTGTTGTCACCCTGGGGACAACCAGTGCTACTACTATAGGGCAGTGGCACCTTCTACTTAATGAAGTGTTATGGAAACCCTCAGGTTTGTTCCAGCCACTTTTTTTTTAAGTAATTTATGAATTTCTGACATCTGCATTTGCAATGGTTGTCAAAAGATAGTGTAAGAATGACCCTACTGGCTCAGACGAGAGGTTGTTCTAATTCTCTCATTATCAATGACAGGTATGTAGGGAAGGATATAAATGTAGAGTAAGTGTGTGGTGATAATTCCTCCAAATGTTCTCCCAGTCTCCAATGGTTTGGGTCCCAGGGACTTCCTGAGCCAGGAGGGGTTTCTTTGTAGTAACCCTCAACAGATTTCCTTCCCGAGAGCTTTCTGGTTTTCCCCTAAACTCATGTAAGTCGGTAGCATCCTGTGGTGAAGAGTTCCAAAAGTAGAATGAATCATAGGGTAGAATCATAGAATGGTTTGGGTTGGAAGGGACTTTTAAAGGTCATTTAGTCCAACCTCTCTGCAATGAGTGGGGACATCTTCAATTAGATCAGGTTGCTTAGAGCCCCATCCAACCTTTAAGTACTAAAAGGCCACAATAAGGTCTCCCCAGAGCCTTCTCCAGGCTGAATAACCCCAGGTCTCTCAGTCTTTCCTTGTAGGAGAGGTGCTCCAGCCCTTGGATCATTTTTGTGGCCCTCCTCTGGACCTGCTCCAGCAGGTCCATGTCCTTCCTGTGCTGAGGGACCCAGAGCTGGACGCAGTACTCCAGGTGAGGTCTCACCAGAGCAGAGCAGAGTGGCAGAATCCCCTCCCTTGACCTGCTGGCCACGCTTCTTTTGATGCAGCCTAGGATGCAGCTGGCCTTCTGGGCTGCAAGTGCACGTTGTCAGCTCACATCCAGCTTTTCATCCACCAGTACCCCCAAGTCCTTCTCTGCCGGGCTGTTCTCAATCACTTCATCCTCCAGCCTGTATTGATACCGGGGATTGCTCCAACCCATGTGCAAGGCCCTGTACTTGGCCTTGTTGAACCTCATGAGGAAATGGGAATGGAACAACTCTTTTTCTTCTGTAAAAATAGATGTGAATACAAGATGAAGTAATTCATTATTTCTGCAGATTATTTAACTACAGCAATGCTGCTTCTAGTTAAAGAGAAATAGCTGAAAAGTAACAATCTCTTTTATCCTGTTTATGCAAAATGTTATATAGTGATTTGGCTAAGAATGGCCCGTATATGCATTTGTTCATTATTACATTAAATAAAAATAGTCATAACCCTTCTGTCTGCTTTGAATTGATTCTTTCTTAGCTTTAGATGCTCTTTGTTTAACAGGGTTTTTTTTTTATTTCTTGTTATACTCTTTTCTCCAGTAATATATAAAACCAGTTTGCTGCATCTTCAGCCCAGGCAGATGACAATATATCTCCCAGAAGTGCGGAAGATTTCAATGGACTACATTAACCTGCCTGTCTTTAATCCAAATGTTTTCAGTGAAGATGAAGATGATTTACCAGGTAAGGAGGAGCTGGAGGTCTGCCATGTTATGGGTTAAGCTAGATGGAGGATGGATCACATGTGTCACTCACCCCCTCTGGTAAACACAGAAATCAAAATACCTTAGTCTGATGGGGTCCTGTAGAACTGATTTAGATTAAGGCTAATATGTATTATGGACATTGTTTTCTAAAATATGTGGAAAATATAATCCATCTAAGTTTCAAGTTCATTGGAAAATTAATCATCTTCTATTTAGTTCACTCAGAATTCTCCATAGATGGAAGTCTTGCATTCTGCATCTTTGTAGGACAGAATTGTAATGTGTTGGAAGCCCAAAAGGGTTGTTCTTGTGACCAGATGGCAGCAAAACACATCCTGCTGATAGGAGCTTGCGTTGGAGGGCAGGTTCCCGTAAAACTCAGCCACCCTTTGAGAAGTGATAAATACCCATACCAAATCTTACATATAGGCTGAAATAGTAAAGTAGTCTATAAACAAGGAGGATCAGGGAGAGTTTCTCATTTCACTGAGATGTAAGGTAGCAGAAGATTGAAGTAGTGCAGGGAAGGCTTGGATGCAGGTGATGTGAATGTGGCAGGTAAAAGTACTGGAAGTACTCAGGACCTCCTCAAATCAAAAAAAAATCATCATGCCAATAAAATTAACAAATAATAGACAAGAAGATAAATTAATGCATTTTCAGAATTTTCCCATCAGTGAGGGATTCCTGTTGCCAGGTCACAGATTTTTGGAACTACAGGAGTGACCATCATGCCAGTACCCTTTAAGGAGAAAGGAGCGTGAGCAGTGCAAAGCAATTAAAGGCTTGTGCTAGTGTCAATTGAAATACATGGAAATATTCCCATTATTTCAGATCAAGGTTTTGACTGCTGAAAGCACCAAAGCTTGTGTCTGACCCAAGCATCAGAGTAGTCCTGTGGACTTCTAAGGAAATACTCATGTGCTTAAAATTAAGCCCATTCTTTCACGATTTGGGGCTTGACTTGCCTAGTTTAAGTCTACATGATATTCACCTGCAGGACCTGAAGAAAATAATAGAGACATTGATGATCATATATGTGTTATGCATAGGAAGCACTCAACATTTTCTATTATGAAACATGGTCCAAGCTGACTGAAAGTAATACAAAAATTAAGTTGAAAAAAGTTAATATAAAGTCTTTGCATTCCTTCCGGAAAAGTGGATTAGATCTGCAATATCAATTCCTTTTATATTATTAAAAGAGATAAAATGGTACTCAGAATTGCAGGTTGGTGAACACCACATAAATATAGGGAAAACTGTTAGAGAGTTTTGTTAAAGCTCTTCGAGAAGGCTAGTAAAAGAATCATACTACCCTGTCCTCCATAACAGCCTTCCTGTTCTTGTCCACTTTTTTCTTTCTAATTTCTTCTGAAAATTCATTTCTGACTTAGAAAATGGAGGCTACTTAAATCTTCAAAAACATCTTTGGGGATATCCTTTCTTAAAGCCTGCATATAAAGGAAAAAAGTGCCATGTACTGATGGGAAAAAATATTACAGCATAAATAATGATTACATGATAGATTAAAAAAAACATAGTAGAAAGCTGCTCTTGGGCAGTGGAACATTAATAGTGTGGTACTCTTGGGACAGATGGTTTTTAATGTCAGTAAAGATTTGGCAAGGCAAATGGACAGTGAAGTGATTTAACTTGCAAATTATGCAAACAAGTCAATTAAAAACCATTGGAGAAATGAAAAAAACATTGGATTTAAACACTTTGGGATATTAAGCAACACCGCGACAAATGAGATTTTGTTTGATAAGGCACTTAATACCTATGACAGCAACATTCTGGGTTGTTCAAGCCAAGCTAACAATTAAACCTCAAGCTCTGGTAGATAAATTGCTAACCTGCAGGCATCAGGATGAAAGCACGGCCTGCCGGCCAAGCACAGAACCACACTGCCTTAGGGTCAGTTAAGTTTAGCTGTCAGTCTTCTTCTGAAGGAATGAAGAGAGCTACCATAAAAATTTGCCAGCATAGCCACAGACCTATCTGTATACCTACCACATTCATGACTGATGCTGATAAAAGTCTAGTGCTATTGAAACTATAATTATAGGGCACAGGTAGATGGCTAGAATTTTAGCTAGAAATTAAGTAGGAACTGGGCAGTGGCTGGAGGAGTCCTGACTAATGAACCTCTTGCCTGATCTGGTCCTGCAAATCAGAGGTCTCCACAGAATTTGGCACACTTAAATGATCCTGGATAGGCTGCTAGGATCCTGGATATTACTCTAGTTTCTTTTCTTCCCATAAGCCTGCTGATGCAACTCATGTATAATTTTCCATCGTTTTTATACAGGAAAACTAATAAAGAATCTGCAAGAATGTGGGGGGGTTTAATACAGTATTTACTGTTTCCACTCATTATTATATTTTGTTCCTTCTTATCGTGACTTCTGCACCTGTACTTCATTCCAGTGTCCTCATTTCCCCGCTTTGTTCTGGCTTTTCAGTGGTAGTTCCTGCTGGAATCACTCTCACCACTTTTTGCAAAAGGAATTGCAAGCAATTGAGCAAGCTCCGTGCTTGTGCTTAAAATCTTCAGGATTGCTTCGTGCCTCACTGTCCCTTGTTCACCACCACCATGTGTGGGAAACTTTTCCTATATACATTTGCTTCTTTTCACATTTCTGATTGCAGCCAGCCTGTCCAAACATTGATGCTGAAGTTGCCCTAATTACAGTACCCACTTCTTGAATCTTTCTGGCTTCCCATCTATTTCCTCACATCTTCCCCTTACATTTTCCATCTGGCTTCTCATCTATTTCCTCACATCTTTTCCTTACAAATCTTCTTTCAAGAACTATTATAAGTTTTGTCTGTATTTCATTCCATCATACTCCTCTCCCTCTTTGTTTCATCTTCTTTCTTTTTGCGTTACTGGTTGCTTTGTCACCCGCTATACTCAAGAGATAATAATACTTCCCTTTTCCCAACTGTTGTCTGTATTCTCCAGTTTTCCTAAGCTCATTGAGTCTGGGGACATTATACTAGATACTATACAGTGCCTTCAGTGCAGGTCTTCAATTTTCTTTTTCTTTCTTCCCCTTTTTTTTTTTTTTTAATGACAACAAACATCCAAGTCAAAACTCATACTGCTGTCTGATCAGGGCAGGCTTGAGGAGCATCATTTCATCTTCCTCCTGAAGCTTGGTTCAGCATGGTACAGTGTCACCTGACTGGCTGTACAAGGAGTCAGCCTGGGCCAGCGGGGTTTTTTGTGCCTCACCGTGAGGTAGTAGCAGCCCTAGAGGAAGCCAGGAGGTTAGTGGTCCTAGGACTAGGGGCAAAGACGAGGTGGCAGCAGCCACAGGTCTGTGAGTGGATTTTCCTTTCTGTTGTTTGTAGATGTATTTATTATCAAAAAACTTCCCTGAAAACTAGTGAGTCTGGATTCAGCGAAACTTTTATTGATTTGAGTAGTTAAAATTGGCTGGTAAGTGAATGGTAATTCAGACCCATCAGGTAAACTGCTTGCTCTGTGAAAATCTGTGGCAATTATAGTGTAGACTGAAAGTGAGCTCTGAACTTTACCTCCCAAGCATCACTCCCAAGAAGTTACTTTAATGTTGACCAACAGCTGTTACAATGGGAATCAGTGGAGACAGGCTGGCTTACTTGTTCATGCTAAGGTCTGATCCGTTGATTTTGGCATTGATAGCAGTCCATCCAAATGCAGCAGAGCGCTTGAGCAAGTACACAAAGATAGCAAGTAGTTTAAAAAGTCAAAGATAAAGTGGAATGACAAAGTGCCAAAGACGTGCAGTATTTTTTCCCTTCTAACTAGCTTTAAAAAACAATTTCCCCCCAGTTTCTGAATTTTCTGTCGATGCTGGCATGAAATTTTCCCATTAAACATTTTTTAGCGACCTGCATGTCTTCCACAAGTGCTGAAGAAAACCTAAAAATATGTGAAACACTGCTTCAGGAAAATTCCTTATTTTAGTGCCTGCTACCCAACTGCTTCCCTAACCGCTGCAGTCAGCAAAGGCTTACGGCCCCTTGCAGCTCTGGGCCCAGGGCTGGGGTGGCCTCACAGCACAGTCCTCGCTACCACCATCGCATGCGAGGGGCCCCTGGGGCAGAGGAGGTCGGTGCGTGCGTCCCCCCACAGGGCAGCGGGTGCCAGAAGGAGGATCCAGGGAACTACAGGCCTGTCCATCTGACCTTGGTGCCAGGGAAAGTTATGGAGCAGATCAGCCTGAGTGCTATCACATAGCACGTACAGGACAACCAGGTGATCAGACCCAGTCAGCATGGGTTATGAAAGGCAGGTCCTGCTTGACTAACCTGATATCCTTCTATGACAAGGTGACACGCTTAGTGGATGAGGGAAAGGCTGTGGATGTTGTCTACCTAGACTTTTGTAAAGCCTTTGACACCATCTCCCACAGCATTCTTCTGGAGAAACTGGCTGCTCATGGCTTGGATGGGCGTACTCTTCGCTGGATAAAAAAACGGCTGGATGGCCAAGCCCAAAGAGTGGTGGTGAATGGAGTTCAATCCAGTTGGCGGCCAGTCACCAATGGTGTTCCCCAGGGCTCAGTATTGGGGCCAGTTCTGTTTAATATCTTTATCAATGATCTGGACGAGGTGATCGAGTGCACCCTCAGTAAGCTTGCAGACAACACCAAGTTGGGCAGGAGGGTTGATCTGCTTGAGGGTAGGAAGGCTCTACAGAGGGATCTGGACAGGCTCAATTGATGGCCCGAGGTCAGTTCTATGAGGTTTAACAAGGCCAAGTGCCGGGTCCTGCACTTGGGTCACAACAACCCCATGCAACGCTACAGGCTTGGGGAAGAGTGGCTGGAAAGCTGCCCGGTGGAAAAGGACCTAGGGGTGCTGACTGACAGTCTGCTGAACATGAGCCAGCAGTGTGCCCAGGTGGCCAAGAAG